TGATATAGCTTGTATCCTAAAGATATTTCTGGGAGTAGGTCTTGAGTTATCATATGATAGTAGATCACATAGCAGAGTTTGCTGTAGCATAGCACAGTTTGGTGAATGCTGTGACAATAACTTGCCACCCATACTAAAGTCAGAACAATATTAAACTCTGATGGACTGAGACCAGCTGTGATAATACCAGCTTTCACATTGATTCCAGGAGGTAGTGTAGAAGTGCAGCTTTTTATGTATCGGGTTTATTGGGAAAATTAGGACTAGTAGAGATCTTATGTAGGACATGAATTCCCTTTTACATGAAAACATACTTTAAGACTCATAGTTAAATGTGGTTCTAACAAAGAAAGGAAGAAACAAGATTTGTTTTCTGTAGATGAGTTTAACATTTAGGATTTTTTCAATGAAAATACCAAGCAAACAGCAAATGAAAATACCCATTGCTGCAAAGCAAAAGTGCGTTTTCTGTAAATTGTTTGGAAAGGGCTGGTGCTACTTTATACTTTGTGTCAAAACTGTTTACAGTTTTTATGCAGAGCCAGATTTTTCAACTGCCTGCCACTTTTTGTGATCACCTCTGGAAATAATGCAACCAAATCAGAATTCTCTCCTCACATGGGTAGCAGTGTTTTATATCCATTTTGTGCTCACTTTGCACAGCTATAAATGACTACACAAGATGCAAGGCAGAGGAAAATCAGACTCAAAGTATACTTTAAATGGATCTGGATGTCACTTCTGCCCTGTCATTCTTTCTACAAGGTGTGAATGAACCAAAGATTTTTCATCTGCTAAGAGGCTTTTAGAATTGAGGACTGACTGGGCTAACTGCCAATCTATGTATTAAGAGGCTGACTGTCAATACAAGGAAACAATGTGGCAACTTGTAAAAGAAGACAGCAAAAGAATACTACACAGTTGTTAGCAATTTCAAGATACTAAGTACTTTCATATAACAAATGTCCTTGCAGTCACTTTATAATCTCCTGCCTTAAAAATGTCTTCTGCTTTTGCTATTCTTATTACTCTTTTGATTATTTATTAAAAATTAAGCTATATGATTTTAAAAAATAGTATGTATATTTAATAGTGCCAGAAGATATGCCTTTTTTTCAAACATATTGTTTAAGGGCCTGTCCATTTTATATTTCAAGTATAAAACTTGCTAGTGTATACTTGAAAAGGTACACAATGTGTTGGTTTTACAGGGGAGATTAATTTTTAGCACCAAAGTGTATATATGTTGTCAATGATCCATCACTAGCTAATTGTTACTTAATTAATTCCTTCTTCTACATAATGTGATTTCAATGCATGGAGCTTAACAGAACATTCATGCGCCAGTTCCTCGGTAGCTAACCTTTTAAACCTGTGTGATTTTACTGCTAAATTAGCTGAAGTGGGAAATTAAGGAATATGGAGAAGCTAAGAGAGAGCTCACAGTGGATAAAAGGTGTAATTACTCTGACATGGAGCTCAGTGCTTAGCTAGTAAAATTTACTAAGGATCTAGCTTCACCAAGGGACGTGACTTTCTTAATAGAGTTTACTTACACACAGAGCAACTTAGCGTTCCTCACCATTAATATAAATGACATGCTGGCTGGGTTGGAAAGGCAATTTGTTCCTTACCCTGAAAAATACAATGCCTATTTGTATTGGCTGCAATTTAAATCAAGATTTTTCTGCACAGCTTTATCATACACATCTGTATGATAAAGGTAACTCAGATCAAATATAATTGTTTGCTTTTCATCGCTGACTTACAAGCAATGCGTTCTCATTCATACCATTACATTAAAGGTAAAAAGAAATATATATATGTTACATATTTGTAACATACTTGAGAATTTACTTTTTTTTAGACTGAAGACCAGCTGGAAATGTCCTGAGGCCATGGTCTAATGGTCTGAGCTTGGGACTGGGAGTGAGAAACTCCTGAGCTCTAATCCCGGCTCTGACAGTGACTCCCTCTGTGGCCTTGGGTAAGTCACTGAACCTCTCTGCCTCAGTTTCCCCAGCAGTAAAAATAAGATTAACAATTCTTAGCTCCATACCTTAGTGAATTTGGGAGTCCTGACTTAACATTTAAGATGTTTAGAAATTCAGAGTAACTTAAAAATAAAAGTACTGTTATTTATAAATGTCCTTATTGGTGATATTCATGATATTCATGTTGTTGTTAGATATTCATATAAGTCTGTCATTCCTGTACTTAGCCTCACCTGCATTTCAGCTCTGAGTGTTTCTAAATGTGCATTTCACGTCAGCTGATTTTATTTGGTTAAGCTGGTTTTGGATGTATTTTGACATCCCACCAGTTCTAGTTCTGTGTCAATCCAGGATAAAATACCCACCAAAATAAGCTTTCAGGCAGCACCAAATTAGAGCAGTGGAATGATGCATGCAAGCCTATGCCAAATTGTATCCTTCGTCCCCTTTGTCAGAAGTGGTCAACTTATGAAGCAGAGAATAAATCCACTTGTCAGCAGTTCATCTACTAGGTTCCTTCACTGTCCTAACTGTAACAGGAGCACTACATACAGA